CGGTCTGTCACACTCAGTGTTTGGGGCGTGTTAACCGGGTGGGGGAGCACTGTGCCCAGGAGAACAGGGAAAGGGTTCCATCCTGGGGCAAACAGGTAGCTCTGTTCTCCCCGTACCCCACCTGTCTGTCCTGCTGTCTGTTCTGCTGGTCACAGGAGCCAGGCTGGACAGAGGGGATGGAGAGGATGAAATCTGCCCCCGCCTGGAGTGCAGTGTGAGACATAAGCACTGTCCAGGCCTCGCCTCTCTCTCTCTTTTTTATATTTATCCTCACCCGAGGACATTTTTCCATTTTTGTTCAGATAGAGTGGGAGGGAGAGAGAGGAAGAGAGAGAGAGAGAAACATTGACGTGAAAGGGACACATCGAGTGGCTGCCTCCTGCACAACCCAACCCGGGCCAGGGACAAACTGCAACCAAGGTACGTGCCCTTAGCGGAACCGAACCCAGGTCTCTCTGGACCGCGGGCCGACGCTCTAACCGCTGAGCCAAAGCGGCCAGGGCGGCCTCGCCTCTCTTATCTGATCTGCACTGTTCCAAGTTCTCTGTCCACAACACCCCTTCTCCAGGTCCCTGCACGGTCCTCTTCCTCACCTTGTTCTCATCCCTGCACAAGGTCATCTGCTCTGAAAGAGCCACCCCCAGCCCCCACCCCATCACTCTCCTTCCTCTCACCCAGCTTTACTTTCTTCAGCAGTTACCACTGCCTGACATTGAGTGTAGTGTTCCCTGCTGCCTCGTCAGAATGTGAACCCCATGAGGGCAGGCAGCGACTTTGGTTCACCACCACACCGCGTCTAGCTCCGTGTCTGCCACACAGCAGGTGCTCCATAAATATTTCCCAACCGAATGCATTCTGAAAGGAAAACTTGCTATAATTCAGAGGGGAACCAACATGGTGAGGGAGCCAGAGAGCACGCTTCCATTTTTCCTCATAAAATTTCTGCATCTTAGATCCATTTAGTTTTATGTGAACGACAAGATAAAATAAATGAGAGAAATTATAGCTATTTCCACAAGCATCTTGGCAAGGAAAACCTCCGTTTCTTCTATCCTTTACAACCCAGAACGGCTTAGTCGTCCAGTGTTCCTGGAAGTGTTCTCCCTGTCTCATCATTGGAGTTCAATGGTCAAAACACGAGAGGAGGGAACCAAGGTGAATTATTGGTAAAGACACAGACAACCCAGCTGAGGTTACAACCTGCTGCAGAACAGTCCCTGCTACTCTCCACCATTCTACCAAAGGGATTTCTTTAGCCCCTGACAGAGAAGAGCTCGTGGTTTTGTATGGCCAGAACATTCCTATTCACCCTGCAAATCTGGGTAAAGAACACACAAAGGAAGAAATCAAGGAACACAAAACAGCAAAAGAGTCTCCTTACCCCCGAATCCCACCCTAAGATGGTGAGGTAGACAGTGAGTGAGGTAGTAGTAGATTGGACCGAAGAACTCAGGGTGACTCAGCTACATTCCAGAGACTGGCATTTCCCGAGCACAAGTGCTTCCTAGGGCCAGGCAACAAAGGCCTTACCAGACCGACTGGCCAGGGGAACTGATGTGCCCAGGCTCACGCCATCCAAATCCTAACTCCAAGGTCTTCATTTCACACCACAAATACATTTAGTCTTCCCCGGAGTGCTGTCTGCAGACCTAAGTGCACCTGAGTCCACAGACATCTGGTCCGTGTTATCGGGCTGGCCCAAGGCAGCTCTGCTAAGTGTCTAGAGCCCTCTCACTCTTGCTCATTGATAGCATCACTCCTCCAAACACTGAATCAATAAAGGATTCTTGAAAACGCTGAAGAATTTTCAAACCTAAGGAATAAAGTTGGAGGAGATAGCTTTCAGTACTGGCCCTGCCCGGAATCACAGGATGCAGGTCACTCACTGATACAGTTAACCCCACAGAAACAACCACTAGAAACCAGCGCAACATGTCCGTGGAGCCTCTTCGACCTCTTTCCCCGGCAAACGTGTGGTGGTGATGGACGTCGAGGCATGGGAAGGAGCTGAAATGTCCCGCTAAAACCGAGTCTAACTGAAGCCAGGATCTAGGGGGTCAGAGCTGGATACATGGAATCACACTGCAGTCTGGCTTTCATTCCATGGCTATCATTTGCATCGGTATTCTCCTTTTGGCATAATGGAAACTGAGCAAGACTTGGGAGACAGAACACAGGGTTTGACTCCTGTGGCTCTGCCATCTCATAATTGAATCTTGGGCAAGTTTTCTAAGTCTTGGTGCACTTGTTTCTTGGGGCTGTCATAACAAAGTACCACAAACTGGGTAGCTCACAGAAGAGAAATGTATTGTCTCACAGATGTAGAGGCTAGAAGTCCAAGATGTAGGTGTTGGCTGGGGTGGTTCTTCTGCGGGCTGTGAGGAAGGGTCTGTTCCATGCCTCGCTCCCAGTGGTTTGCTGGCCATCCTTGGCATTCCTTAGCTTGTAGACGCATCACCCCGTTCTCAGCCTTCATGCTCACGTGGTATTCCTCCCGTGTGTCTCTCTGTGTCCAAATCCTCCACCCCTTTTTTTGTTAATCCTCACCTGAGGATATTTTTTCCATTGATTTTTAGAGAGAGTGGAAAGAAGGGGCGGGGGCGAGGGGGGAGAGAGAGAAATCTCTGCACACACCCCGATCAGAGCCTGGGATCAAACTTGCAACCCAGGTACATGCCCTAGACCGGGAATCAAACCTGCAACCCTTTGGTGTGCAGACCAACACTCTAACCATTGAGCCACACCAGCCAGGGCCAAATTTCCCCTTAAAAATTTTTTTTTCTTTATTGATTTTAGAGAGAGAGGAAGGGAGAGGGAGAGAGAGATAGAAACATCGATGAGAGAGAATATTCATTGGCTGCCTCCTGTATGCCCCTGACTGGGGATCAGGCCCACAACCTGGGCATGTGCCCTGACTGGGAATCGAACCGGTGCATGGGTCGACAATCAACCACTGAGCCACACCAGCTGGGCCAAATTTCCCCTTTTAAGGACATAGTCATATTGGATTAGAGTCCACTGTGTATAAATACTTTGGAGGGCACTCTGGCATTATACACAAATAGGGAAGCAATTCCATTCCCAGGTATATACTCCAGAGAAGTGTTTATGCATGTCCCCAGGAGAGATGTGCAAAAAGTTCATAGCAGCATTGGCTGCAAAAATAAAAAGGAAAACCTTGCCCTGGCCAGTTTGGCTCAGCGGTTGAGCATCGGCCTGCGGACCAGAGAGTCCCAGGTTCAGTTCCCGCTAGGGGCATGTACCACAAAAAAAAAAAAAAAAAGGAAAACTTACATTTTCTAAATATAATATATTTATATAGAGGAATACTATACAGCAGTTAAAGTGAATGAACCAGAGCAATGCGTATTTCATGGATGAATCTCACTAATAAAATATTGAGCAAAAAAGGACAAGTTGCAGATGAATACAGGCGGTGAGTCAGGCAAAACTAAATGCTGTATTGCTCAGGATACATACACATGTATATGCATAAAGAGTATAAAGAGCCCAGCTGGCGTGGCTCAGTGGATTGAGATCATCCCCATGCACCAGGAGGTCGCTGGTTCGATTCCCGGTCAGAGCACATGTCTGAGTTTGGAGCTCAATCCCCAGTAGGGTGTGTGCAGGAAGCAACTGATCAATGTTGTTGTTTTTTTCCATCAATGTTTCTCTCTCTCTCTCCCGTCCTCTCTCTGAAATCAATAAAAACATATATATTTTTTAAAAGAGTATAAAGACATGTGTGGGGATGACAAACAAATTCAGGAGGGATGTTTTTCAGGGAGAAGGGAAGGTGTAAGCGGAGCTTCAGCTGTATTTGTAACAGTTTATTTACATTTATTTTTTTAAGTATGTTTTTATTGATTTTTTCAGAGAGAGAGGAAGGGAGAGGGAGAGACAGAAACATGGGCTACCTCCTGCACACCCCCTACTGGGGACTGAGCCTGCAAGCTGGGCATGTGACCTGGCTGGGGATTGAACGGTGACCTTTTGGTGCATGGGACGACGACGCTCAGCCACTAAGCCCCACCAGCCGGGCTGTAACAGTTTATTTTTTAAAGGAGTCCACAAGCAAAGGGGGTTGGCTCTTCTTCCTAACTTTCTGCATGTGCGAATTAGGCCATTTTTAAAAAGAGCCAGAACCGGAGGAGCCTTACATTTATCAGAGGGAGAAGCTGGGCCGAACTGTGAGGAGATTCAGAGTTGCTCTTGCCACCCTGGAACCCAGACCCCGGAGTAAATAAGCTAAAGACCCATCTGACAGGTGCCACATTGAAAGGCTGGGACCAGAAAGATCTCCTGTTGAGGGGGAGGGAAGGAGGGAAGGAAGGGAGGAGGGAAGGGCATTTTGATGCTGCCCCCTCTGGTTCTGACCTAGTTATTGGCCTACACCCCAACCCCTGGGCTGCAAAACCCCAGATGGAGGAGATGAGGGTAGGGAGGGGGAGGGGGGCTGCAGAGGGGACCAGCACTCACGCCCATGGGTACACATGCCTGGATGTCCCACTCACACCAAGTACATCTATGCAGGCTGCCACCCCCCTCCCCCCCATGACACACACTGCCTTTCAAACAACCTGGTGCGGGGCACCTGACAGTCCACAGCACTCTTACAGCTCCTCATGCACACACACACACACACACACACCCCTTCCACCGCCCCCCCCCCCCTTGGCCAGGACCCCAGAACCGAGGGCCCTGCAGAGCCCGCCAGCTGCCGGTGGACCGCCCGCCCTCTCCCCAGCGCTGGGATTTTCCAGCGGAGCCTCACTCCCTCTGCCGCGTTCTCTGGGAATTGGTGTCTGACGCGGCTGCTCCTGCACATTATTTATTTATTTCCTTTTCCTCGCTCCTGTCAGGAGACCCTCCTGTCAGGAGAGCTGCAGCGGGGACAGAGCCAGGCAGGAAGCTACAGGGACACAGGAGGCAGAGAGGACGGAGGGGAGGACCCCTCGGAAGCCCCCACCCATTCATCAAGCTCACCAAGCCTTGCAGGGGCCATGAGCACCAGGCAGGAGGCCAGAAGAGAGGGGGGAGACTCCAGCAGGAGGGGACAGGAGGCAGAGCTCTGGGACCGAGCCCACCTGAGCCAGCAGCGCCGGCTCAAACAGGCCACCCAGTTCCTGCACAAGGACTCCGCTGACCTGCTGCCCCTGGACAGCCTCAAGAGGCTGGGCACCTCCAAGGACTTGGTGAGAAAGCCCTCTCCCCTGCCCCAGAAGTCCTCTGGCCCCTTCTCTCCCCCTCCCCGCCCCATACCCTGAGGGTGGGGGTATGGACATTTAAGTGCGGACCCTAAGCCTTCAGATTGCCCTCCCTCACTGTGAGTGGGGGACACATAGTCCTGCCAACTTGAGGGGCTCCCTTTGATCATTCTCAGCTCTTCACTGGCGATATTCCCAGGACTTGGTGGCACTGAGGGACCCTATTCTCATTGCTCACCCCCCCAAATCCACTGCTTATCCCGGGTGAGCTCTGCTGTTTAGGAATGGAGGCTTTCGGGACACAGAAGCCCCTGGAGTGGTCATTAAAGCTGGGAGGGCCTGGAGGGTTGTCCAGTTTCGAGTTGTGATTTCCTTCCTGTCCCTAAACCAGTGTCCCTCATACCAGCTCTGGCCACTCATTTGCTTCCCCCTCGGAACGAAGCATTAAAGGCCTCCATCCTGGCCAAAGCATCCTGGCCTCCTCGAGTGTCCCCTCCCTCCCTCCAAGCCTCCCTCTAGGCCCCTTTGCGTCCATCTTCCTGCAGCAGCTTTGGCCTCCAGGGGGAACGGGGTGGGGGAGTAACCACGAGGAGGTGAGTGGGTTAGGGGCCACTGCATAGATGCACCCCTCGGACGCAGTGGTGAGGAGCATGGGCTTTGAAGCCATGTTGCTTGGGTTCAGATTCTGCTCTGCCATTTGGGCAGGTTACTTTATGTTTCCGTGCCTCAGTTTCTTTATCTATTAAATGAGGATAAAATTAATAGTATCTACCTCATAGGGTTGTTGCAAGAGTTAACATGAGCTAATACCCATCAGAACAGTGCCCGAGAGAAAGCAGTATCTAAATGCTGTTATTATTCATTCCTTCAGCTACTATTCCATTTCACCCGAGAGAGAGGGAGGCTTTTGTACACAGGTTTGGGAGCACCCTGTTCACTCTCCCATGTCCTCATCAGAGGATCTGAGAGGAGGGTGGGTACTCCTGCAACCTGAGGTACAAAGCCTTTTCTGGGGGCCTCCGGCCACTCCCGCAGCCCCTGCTACCTGGGAACCTGGAGGCAATCACAGCCCCTCACTGCCCTTCCGGCCCTAGCCCTACCTGTCCATACTCCTCCCAGCCAAATGTTGCTCCTTAACAGGCAACCCCCCTGCCCCATCCCAGCAGCCCCCCAAAAGGAAAAGTGATCAGACAGATTTCAACGGCGAGCACCTCCAGGGGCTGCTCCTCTGCAGGCAAAGCTGAGACTCGATGGAGCAGTGAGGCAGGTTCTTGGCTCCCAGAGGCCAGGGCCCTTCAGCCTCTACCCTTTGGGGACCGTCCTTCGCTGGTTTCCCTGGAGAGGGGCCATCCCCGTGGGAAAGGTGGGAGGGGAGCTGGGAGCTGCAGAGCTGCTCTTTCTGGCCAGTCCCAGAGCTCGCTGCCCTTTTCCCAGAGCTGGGTCTCCTGCTGGCAGCCTCAAGGGCCTCGTTAGGCCCTGGGTGGAAAAACAATCCCAGGTTCCCAGGGAGAGAGGGCAGGTGGAGAAGCACGTGCAGAGCCTGGAGGGAGGCCGTATTCTTCAGCAAGTGTATATTGAGTGACTGCTAATATGCAGAGTCAAGTCCTGGGATACAAAGATGAATGAGATAAAGACCTGATCCCTAGAGCTCTCCAGGTTAATGGAGGAGTGAAATTCACAACATCTGTGCAAAGCATGACAAAGCAGACTACTCCAGCCTTGTGTGTGGAGGGAAGAGCATAAGGAGGTCAGAGAGGGCTTCCTGGAGGAGGCACATCTGCACTAATTACCAGGTGCACATGGAAGCCCAGGCATCTATCTGAACAGTTAGTTCTTTTTTTTTTTTTTAATCCTCACCTGAGGACATTTTTCCATTTTTTGTACAGATAAGAGTGGGAGGGGGAGAGAGAGAGAGAGAGAGAGAAACATTGATGTGAAAGGGACACATCGAGTGGCTGCCACCCGCACGACCAACCAGGGCCGGGGACAAACTGCAACCGAAGTACGTGCCCCTAGCGGGAACCGAACCCGGGTCTCTCCGGACCGCAGGCCGACGCTCTAACCGCTGAGCCAAACCAGCCAGGGCAATAGTTAGTTCTTGAACAAAGTGTGTTGAGCTAGTCATCCAGCCTCAGGAACAGAGGAGGGCAGAGGCAAAGGCACGAAGGTGGGGAAACAGCCGGGTGCAAGCAGTACCACGGGGGCAGAGCCGAGTGATGTGGGGTGGGATTAGCCGAGGCAGATTTGGGCAGTGACCCGGGCACCTGGGCTGTGGATCTCCTTATAAAGTTTGAGCTCTACCATGTCAGCAATGGGGGAGGAGGGGTGCTTTGATGGATGTTTAAAAAGAGAAGTAACATGGTTAGTTTTATTTGGGTGCTTCTCAGACTTTAATGTGCCCATGAATCATCTGGGCATCTTGTTAAAATGAAGCTTCTGATCCAGTAGCTTTTCTGCATTTCTAACAAGCTTCCGAATGTCGTCAGAGCTGCTGATCTGGGCACTTAGAGTAGCAAGGGCTTTAGATAAACCACTGGCTCCGAGCAGGTGTATCTGAGAGGTGACAGCACTGGATGAATGTGAAGGGGCACCCGGTGAAGCAGGACAGCAGCGGAGTCTGGGTTAGAGGCAGTGACAGAAAGCAGGGATGGACTATAAACACAGGAGGCAAAGCTGGCAGCGTTTAGGAAGTGACTGGACAGGGCGGGGGGTTACAGATGAAGGAGAGTCCAAGGATGACTCCCAGCACCCTAGTTTTGGAATTTAACTTTTTCCATTTTTGTTTTTGTCACTTTGACTTCTTTTCATCACATCCTCAACCCTAGGACCTGCAATTCACTGAAAGATGAGGTCAAAGGGGGGAAAATATCCAAAAAATTAAAAAAACAAAACCTGTTGCAGACTCGAGACAGAATTTCCTCCAAGCATAATACTAGTTCTGAAATATACCGTCAGCCAATATTAATCAGTGAAACCTAGATGGCTCTTCCCTTCCCATTTCTTCATCTCTGAACAATCTATTGGGGTCTCAGAAAAATGGCATGATTTGACACCGGGGTTCATTCTGCTATAATGATCTGGCTGTTGGGAGCCTCAGGTAAGCTCCTGCCCCTTTCTTACTCTTGTGAGACTCAGGATGGGGTGGGGTGAGGGACAGCATCCTGGGATATCTAAAGTGGGGGAACTGGGCGGCCTGGATACGTGGCTTTCGACCTCTCTCCCTTCATTGCTCTGTGATGGAGCTAGCAGCCACACAGCGTGATCCAGAGACGCCTGGTAGAGGGAAGCCAGAGTCGGAGCCAGGGGGAGTCTCCCTTGGTGCAGGTCCTGATTCATGGCCAGGAGAACAGGAGGAAGACCAGCACGCCAGAGATTCCAGCGCTTCTGGTCAGCTGCAAGGTGAGAGGCCTCCTGGGGCACTGGCTTTCATGGACAATCCTGCCTGTGACTGGCTCACTTCACCCACGCTCCTTTCTGCCCTGGGGGTGAGGGAAGGAGGGAGGGAGAAAGGGAACCTCTCCCCTAAGCCTGGACCAAAAAAAGGGATCCTGTATCTTCTTTGCTCTCTGCTGCAAACCATCTCCCCTCTGCAGTTCCGTCTGTCACCACCACGACTCTCTTTCCTTTATCAAAGTATAATCTTTCAATGTCAATATGCAAATGCTCTTCAGTGGGCTCTACATAATGAGTGGTGTGTGCAAGGATGGATAGTGCAACCCTCCTGGAAAAGCTCACATGACAGCCTCATCTCCGGAGCCATTTAACCACCTAACCAATACCGAACCTTCCTAATAAATGCCCAGCCTGTGTGGCTCAGTGGTGGAGCATCAATCTGTGCACCTAATAAATGCCTACTGCTCTTACACCACTGTCTCTGCTCAGCATTTCCTCTGCCTGCTTTGCAATTCTTTCATGTCCACATTCTACAATCTATTAAGCCTCAAATGTTACCTCCTCCTTGAAACCATTTTTTGTTTTCTTTAATCCTCACCTGAGGATATTTTTCCATTGATTTTCAGATAGTGGGAAGGAGGGAGAGAGAGAAACATCAGTGTGAGAGAGACACCCTGACTGGTTGCCTCCTGCATGACCCCAACCAGGGCCGGGGATCGAACTGCAACCAAGGTGTGAGCCCTTGACCAGAATCGAACCCGCAACTCTGGTCCGTGGACCATCACTCTAACCGCTGAGCCAAACCAGCCGGGGCTCCTCCTTGAAACCTTTTGATTTCCCCAGTAGGGAACAGCCTTTCCTCCTTCTCAACGTCTAGGGCACTTTACTTACAATCCTTTCATAGATCTTAAGACTTCCCACCATACAGCAGTTACATTTCACTTCCCCTAGACTCCAAAAGAACAGTATTCTCTGCTGCGTCTTCCAGCAATATCTTTGCATAGTAGGTGCTCAATAAATGTTTGGAACGAGAAAACTGCGTGTTTGTGATATACAAGTGTAACCCAAAATGTCTGTATGTCCACAAAAAAAATGAACATGTTTTCCTTCGCTTCCTGTGGTGATCGTTTTTTACCATATCCAAATTTTCTAGCAAGGTATCCCGATCTCCTCATCCCTCCTCTACTCCTAACTAGATTTTTCTAACCTGGTGGCCCTCAGCCTCCCAGAATTCCTAGAAAAACAGCCATCCCTTTCTGGTCAAATCGTTCCCAAAGGGATGGACTCGCCATGACGAGCAGCTCACTGCCGTGTTTGATCTATCTGAGCCAGTTTTGCTTCAGTTGTATAAATCCCACGAGAACCACTTTAAAAGCTTCGGTCCATCCCCTTCGCTCATTTCTGAAAGGGAGTCATCCAAGGCTGGGAAGGTGAGAGGCCCAGTCCATTCTCCTGGGACTCACCGAATCCCCCCCAACCCTCTCTCTCAGTGCCGGGGCCAGGTGCTCAGGGTGGCTGTGGACACAGGCACCCACTACAACCAGATCTCCACCGGATGCCTCGCCCGCCTGGGGTAAGAGCATGGCCCAAAGTAGTGGAGGGGGAGGGGCTTCGTTTGGGAGCAATATTCTGAGATAGGAGTGCATGTACTCTGTAAATACTACCAACCACTTAATTGTACACTTTTTCTTGGTTAATCCTCATGTGAAGATATTTTCCCATTTTTTAAAAAATATGTTTTTATTGATTTTAAAGAGAGAGGAAGGGAGAGGGAGAGAGAAAAACATTGACAGAGAAACAAGGATTGGCTGCCTCCTGCACGCCCCCTGCTGGGGATCAAGCTCACAACCTGGGCATGGGCCCTGACTGGAAATCCAACCAGTGACCTCTTGGTGCATGGAACGCTCAATCCACTGAGCCACTGGCCAGATTCCGCTGATTTTTAGAAAGTGGAAGGGAGGGAGAAGGGAAGAGAGAGAGAGAGAAACATCGATGTGAGAGACATATTGATAGGTTGTCTCCTGCAAGACCCTGACCGGGGCTGGGGATTGAACCTGCAATCCAGGTACTGTGTGCCCTTAACAGGGAATTGAACGCACAACCCTCTGGTGCATGGGCCAATGCTCTAACCACTGGACAACACCGGCCAGGGATTAAATGTACACTTCTAAAGGGTGACTCATGATATATAAACTATCTATTTGATGGGGACTCTGGCAGAGAAGACAGGGATTTAGACTTTATGTGGGGCCAGGGATTAGGTGAGAACCCAAAGTGTGGTGGGAGGGGCATTAGCTGACTAAAAGGATGAGAGTGGGGGCTGTGGGGGCAATAACCTTGCTTCCCAACCACAGGTTAGGGAAGAGGGTCCCAAAAGCCTCAGGTGGGGACCTGGCACCTGGACCCCCAAGCCAGGTGGAGCAGCTGGAGCTACAGCTAGGCCAGGAGACGGTGGCATGCTCGGCCCAGGTGGTGGGTAAGTCCTCACTTCAACAGCCTGCTTCTCACCTCTTCCACCTTTCTCCTGGGTGGGGCGAAGGCGGAGACTTTCCGCCCTGCCAGCACCAGACAGGGTGTCCTCAAAGATGCTCTGACTATCTCCAATACCTGTGCCGAGATTCTCAGACCTGGGGGTGGGGTGGGCAGAGAGGGGTACGTGCTGACAGCAGGGCAGCAGTGACCACCAGGGAGCCTCCAAAATCTTGTTTTCATGTGGTCCTTGCAGATGTCGAGAGTCCTGAATTCTGTCTGGGGCTGCAGACTCTGCTTTCTCTCAAGGTAAGGAGGATGCTGGCGCTTTGGGGCCTGAGGGAGGGCTGGGAGAGGCAGGAGGCACAGGTGTGGAAGCCTGGGTCGTTCCGAGGAGAAAGATGTGATATCTTTCCGCAGCTTTGCTTCCTGTTTCCCGATCTGTCCACAAGTGAAAAACGTGGAGAACCGGGTCCCTTGCTGACAGGGGTCTGGGTGACCGGAAACAGGGGCAAGCAAGGCGCAGGGGGAAGCTGTGGGAGGGGGTGGCTGGGAGAGCGGTCACCTGCGGTGGGGATCTCACAAGTCTCCCCACACCCCACAGTGCTGTATCGACCTGGAACACCGCATGCTTCGGCTGCAAGCCCCCTTCCCAGAGCTGCCCTTCCTGCCTTTGCACCAAGAGCCTGGCCAGTGACTGCCATTCCAGCTAGTCCCCAGGGGAAGTGCTGTGACTTAAGGGAAGAGCCATGTGGGGCATGGGGACATCACTACAGCCAGGTAGCTGGGGACTACTTTGTGCCTTCTGTCACCACCCTCACCCTCCTGTTCCATGTCCCTGTTGGCCACATCCTTCTCTGCTCCTTGGCGACTTCCCTATCCTCCAGGACTTTTTCTAGAGAGGGCCCAGGATGTCAGGGCTCTGGCTGCCCTGCTCCCTCTCATTCCCCTCCAGAGAAGGGCAAAGCCAAATCAGGGCAGCAGAAAATGACACAAACAAAAGGGTTCCCGGCTGGGCCCCGGGCATGGTAGAAATTGGCCTCTACCTGTCCCCCAGTGCCACCCCAAAATCCCTCGACTGCCTTTACTCCCATTCTCTCACCTCACCTTCTGGGCTCATTATCTTTCCTAAGTAGATGCCACCCCTCACCAACCGGGCCCCCAGCCCTGCTGGTGCCCTCCTTCCTGATTCTGCACACCTCTGCTCGGTGGCGTGGGGGGGTGAAACACTGACCAGAATGATTTCCTACAACAGGACAGTGGCTTGGCACAGGAATGCCAGCTCACACGGCTGGAGCTCTGTTCGTTACCTTTTCTGGGCTTGCGAACACCGGAAGCCAGTTATTATTTGGTTATCTGCGAAACCTTGGATATACCTCCGACATTTGTTCCAGATATTTGTCCTTCCCCACTTGCTTTTTCATCCACTGGGCCCCTGAACTTCGGTGTGTGTGCCAGAGCCCTGTAGGGAGCTGCCCCCAAGGTGGACACGATGGCGGGGCTGTCAGCACTCAGACTTCACCTACCCGGTATTCCTTCTTACTTCCAGAACTCCCCCACCTCACCAGGGGCTTCCTACCCCTCACCTGTGGCTTCCTGAGCTGGGGCTTGCCCTGTTTTGGAGTCAGTGGCTTTCTATCCCCTGCCAGGCTCTAAGCCAAAGCAGAGACAAGGAGGCTCTTCTGACTTCACTGTGAAGACAGGAACCCAAACCTTAAGAAGCCAGACCTGAGTGTCTTTCTGGCTGGTTTCAGTCTCTCAAATCATGAATGAGGGGAAGAGGAAGAGCGTGGTAACTAACGTAAACTAGGGAACTAGACCTGGGGGCTGGAAACAAAGTCATGGGTGGGGTAGACTAGAGAAGAACCAGGATGCAAGGAGCTGCCCTGTGACACTTGGCCTTACCTTTCATGTGTGGCAGTACCCTGGTCCCTCACGGCCCTGCTCCATGACCTCCTCTTTCCTGGTGTCAACCTGTTCTTTTCCCTCCTGCCTCCTGCTGCTTCTGTAATTGCAGACCGTAGACCCCAGGCCCTACAAGGGGACCATCAGCCGCTTCTCCATTTGAATAAACACCTGTTTCTCTATGGTACTGTCCTTCTTTGGTCTTCCGCCATGCCTGTCAGAGGCTGAATGATAACTCTGCCCTCATTCCCTTCCAAGAAGGAAATGTGAATGTGGACCCTTCCCCAGATGGGACCATCTGGCTGGAGTCAGTACGATCGAGAGCAATAGCTTTCTAACTCCTTTGAACGTGATTCAAAGCAGAAAGTACATTTTCTATTACACTCAGTATACACATACACATAAAATTATAACAGAACAATGCTTCCCTATACTGCAAGCAATATACTTTATTCTTCACTCTATTTCATTTATTCAAAAAGTGCTGACCACAACCCACTAAACGATCGCCACCTACAATTTGAAAAGTACTGATTTAAAGCACAGAATTAAGAGCAGAAGATATAAATGGCCCAAGATATCACTCTGATGATGGTCTGGATCAGAAACCTGCACCAGGTTTTAAATGCCGATTGTCTGATAGACGATGCGGTGCCTTTATGGGGCCAGGTGGGTGGGAAATGGAGCAAGGCCTATGAAGCTGCACAATACTTGACAAATATGGCAAAATGAGAGACTGTTGGCCTCGTTTCTTTGGAAAATAGAGCAAAATCATCTCAGGGTTGCTGGGGACACAGAAAAACCAGACTGTAAAATGTCCTGAAAGACCCTCCCAAACAAAGCAAACGGTCTGCCATTCCGGGAGTCATTCCTACTGTCGGTGACCTGGGAGGTGGAGCCTGGGATGGGGCAGAGCCGTTACCTCCCTGCGCCACTGGCCCCGAAGCGGTTTCCTCATGAGTGTCGGGAACATGCAAAAGATTTGGGCCCCTCCTTACGAATAAGTACGGCAAGGCTGGGGAGCTCTGGGAGGGGGCAGTGTCAGATAATGTGGAATAAGGTCAGGGTACTACAACCCTGCTGATGTGATGGGCGAGGTACATAAGAAAATGGGCAGAGAGTCAACTTGTCTCTTCTCTCCCCAAGAAGACCATGCGGTCCGCAGTTCAGTCACCCTCGGGTTGCTGCCATCTGTCCGTGTTCCTCTGTAATCTCTATTCCCTATCCTGCCAATGCCGTGGATACCTTGGGGGTAGAGAGGTTCAGAAGGCTCCTTCTTCAGCTAAGAGGGGGAGTCCAGCTAGGTGGGGTCCTGGAGGCCTGCAGGAGCACACTGTGGTGGCTGCTCAGGGTGGTAGAGGGTTTGGTGAACCAGGGTGCGGGCTGCTGGGAGGTCATCAGGATCTGAGGGCAAGAAAGGGGCTGGTGAGAGGCTGTGGCTCTCCTGGGCCCCTGCTTCGCTAGCCCCGCAGCTTGCTGGGACTCACCCATGCCCAGCTCCTGCAGCAGGCTCTGGAACTCGGGCTCAGCCTCCAGCAATTTCAGCAGATTGGTAGACTCCATCCGCTCGAGCTGCACCTCCCAGTACACATAGATCTTTTGGTTGAAGGTGACGTACACGAGGCAGGGGCTGTTGCGGCCCTCTTTGCAGGCATACAGACCTGGGACGTGTGGGTGGTGAGACAAAGGTCAGGAAGTTTCAGTCCGGTGTTGGCGAGAAGGCAAGAACAACATACGGGCACTGGCATCAGCAGTTCTGCCCCGCCCACAGATGCCAAGCAGAAAACAAAAGGCTCTCTCTTTCTAAGTCTTCTCTGTTGGGAACTCAGTAACATGGAAAAATATCTGGCCCGTTCCAGATGTAGAAAAACTATAGTAACAAAACCCATAGCATCCAAAAATGTGAACTTGACTTTGTTATCTCAGTGAAAGCCCTGGAGTAATGACTAGTCTTGCTAGTTCCCCTTTGCAAAGGCACTGCTCAGTTCTTCGTAACCGCAGACATCTCCACGTCCTCCCAAAGAGTGAGTGCGGGCACCTCAGGTCCCGATTTGGAACGGATGGGAATGTTCTAGGACAGCGATTTTCGACCAGTGTGCCACAAGAGTCTTTAAAACATGCCACCCCTGACTATTCAGTCAGGGTCACGGACCTCTTTTCCCTGAGATTGTCAAATTAAAAAAAAAAAAGTGACAACAACTAACACAACGATAGCCATCCGGTGTGAATGAATCAAAACAATACCTTTTTGTCAGACTGGCAAAAAATACATTTTTTGATGTGCCGCAGAATTTTAGCAATTAGTTCACGTGTGCCATGGGATGAAAGAGGCTGAAAATCGCTGCTCTAGGAGCGTCCTTCAGAGTCCTGATATGCTCAGAAGGGAAGGAGCTTTCTTATGTCTTCACACAAATAGATAAGAACACATCCCATTCTTCAAAATAGTCAGAAATGGAGATCTCATTGTCTTTTACTTTTCCTTGTTTAAAACTGTCAAGCGGGTGGTTTAGTACCCACCCATCACCCTCTCATGAAAGAGCTAAGGAACTCATTTGTTTGTGAAGACTCATGTTAGGGGACACGCTGAGGATGGAAATAAGAGACAGACAGGTGTGGTTAGGGGGGGCCAGGGAGCAGGGACCCACCTGCGCAGAAGGCTCGAACATTCTCGTCCACTTGGAAGCGGACAACCGTGCGGTTGTGATCAATGATATACGTCTGTCCATCCCAGGCACAGGCAACCACCTCTTCGTGCCCGTTGCCCTGATAAAGGTCAGAGACAAGGTTGCAGGGGTGGCCAGGAGCCGCTTTAGAAACAGATCCAATGACAGGGCCGGGTAAAATATAAAAACCACCATATGTGTCTTACCGAATTTCTCCCACGTGCCAGGCTCCACAGGGGCTGTCAAATGAGCCACCTCACATAGTGCTCACGACCACCCCGCGGAGTAGGCAACCTCACTGCCAGCTGATGCGGAGGGAATTTCGGCTTATAGAAATAGTCACGCACCCAAGCTCCCTCAGCTGGCAGGTGCCAGAATCGGCCCTCCAACCCGGGCCTGCTCTGCCTGCCCTCACAGCTTCACGCCTTCTGCACCACCCAGCACGCGTGGCGGCAGCCCAAAGGGCAGCCCCATCGGCGGGTTCAGGGGCCACAGCCTTAGTCAAGTCAGACTCACACAGGGCAAGAAAAAAACTTAACATACGTCTGGACTTGGGACTGATCACTAGCTTCCGGACCCTAGTGATTGCTTCCTTCTCTTTGGAGCTGATGCTCCTGAAAGGTGCTGAGACACGAGATTCCCCGGGCACAGGGACAGCGCTAAGCGCTGTGGACTGCAGGAACAACTCACTGCAAAGGGAGTCTGCCCTGTCTTAAGGGGGCCGTAAGATAACGCTCGTGAGTTAACTGTGAAGCGAGAATGGCTGCACTGAAATCTTCTCTCTCCATGTGAAGAAGGTAAGGATGTTTCTCTCCCAGGTTTTCCACCCACCGTGACATCCAACTTCTCTAGGGCGAAAAGCTGGTGATCCACCTGCACGGACCACAGCAGCTTGTCTGCTTCCTCCATCAGCTTCAGTGTCCCTGCAGGAGGAGAGGCAGGCTGGGCTGGGTGGGACAGGACCCGAGCAGACAGCCAGCACACAACCTCCCCCAGCACTGGCCTGTAGCTGATCCCGGGAACTCACCATCCAGGGTGCAGAGGGCGAAGAGGCCAGAGCCACCACTCTCAGGGCTGTGGCCTGTGGGTGGGACAGAAGGCCCAGGGGAAGACAACATGAAGGTCAAAGCAAGATCAGAGCATGTGAGATACAGGGCGGCCAAGGGCAGGGAGGGAAGGAGGGGCAGGACTAGAAATGAGAGAAAGCCTTGCATCTCCTCTCCCAAAGTGATGCAGCCTGCCTCGCCCCACCCTTTCACCTCGTTTGATGTTGCCAATGAGGTGAGTAGAGACATTCTTGTTGTGGATGCGGCCGGACGTCTGGTGCAGCACAACATCTCGGGCGGCCGGTGTCTCCCTGTGGGCAGGAGACTGGGGGACTCAGTGGGATACCCAGTGAGCTTAGTTCTCCGGCACCTCTGTGGCCCCATCTCCGTAAGAGCTGCCAAGATGTGAATCAGCTAGGAAACCTACTGCTGACCCCATCCAGCCTATGTGGCAAGTAGAAAAGAGTCTTGGAACCTCTTCCAGCTGCTACAAGGTTAGAGCCAGGATTTCCTGGGTCTCCAGGTCCTCCTTCCCAGGAGAGGTGCTTCCGAACCTAGCTAACAGCTCTGCCAACTGCAGACCCATCCACTGCTGTGTACATCTGGAGCCCGACCTGGCTCCCATGCACCCATCCCACACCACCCTCGGGCCTGCACCCCTTACCTACTGCCCTCTGTGGTCCCGTCAGAGGTGGCGGAGTACCCAGTGTCCTTGTTCCAGGTACACAGGAGAACTGCATAAGCACAGCCCGGCTGCGATACTATCAATTCAGGAACACCCAGGGGCCCCGGAGTCACCGAGAGACTGTCCACCTGCACCAGGGAACAGAGGCTTACATGGGGCTGGAGAGAGAGGAAGTGGGACCCAGCAAAGAACAGCGCAGACAGGTGGGGCAGGGGCCTTGTGAGCCGTCCCCAGGCGTCGAGGGTAGTGGCGGGAGGAATTCCAGAGCTCGCAGGGCTCCTGCCTGGTCCATCCTCCCTATAAGCACCATCTGTCTGTTTTCCTCTGAGCACGCCTCAGGTGGGGTCCAGATCATGACGCAGACCACGCCGCACCCACCTTGACATTCCTGATGCCTCGCCCTGGCTTCTTCCTATTTGCCGTTACTAGCGATTTGCACTAAGACTGAGTTGAAATGGTCTTCAGCTCTCTCTCAGCAGGGTGATCTGCCCTTCTTCCCACCCTGTATCGTGGTCCACGACTGTTCTCCCACAGCCCCCTCCAGGAGGCCTTCCTCCCTGCTCTCTGGGCTCCGCGGTCCCCACTCAGCCTCTCACCTGACCTTCCAGCGTCCATTTCTTGAGTGACACCAGCTGCCCCGTCAGATGCTCAGTGCCCTCGCCCAGGTCCTCCCAGCGGAAAGCCCGCACCACACGGTCGGTGTAACCTACCACCAGCTCGTTGCACCCGTCTCCATCTGTGGATCCAGAAAACAAGACGAGTTTGGCGCCCAAGCTGCGTGTGTCACCCTGTCCTCACTCCTCTGCTGACATCGCCGCTGGCATTTTTATCCGGTGCGACTTCAAGCCCAGTCTGCTGTGGAGCCGCCTCACACACCGAGTCTGGTTCGGGCTCCCCTGCCCTTCCTGTGCCAACACCCACCTTTTCCTGGGCCCCACCCACCCATCTGCTCCACAGGTCCTATCACTGCCTCCCTCGGATACACAACTCGGTGTGCTGATTCACCCCATAGCCCCACCACCAGGTGCAGGTCAGCTTCTGGCCAAAATATCAGCCCCGTATCCATACGGCTCATTCCCTTACCATCTTCAATTTTTTTCCCCAGTCTTCCTCTGTTTCTTTTTTTTCAATTTTTTGATCAAATGTAACCTTCTCAGCAAGGACTTCCCTGACGACTCCATTTAGAATTGCTACCCCTACCTCGACACTCTCTAGCTCCTTTCCGTGATTTATTCTCCACAGCACTTGCACAAATGAATACTGACTCCCCTCTCTCCCCTGAATCCCTTGAGATCTGCTCTATGATCCACAGACTCCCAGTCCCCCAGCTGCCTGCAAAGACAGCCATGCCCACCGATGTCGCTGATCAGCATGACCTTGGTGTTGGCAGGGATGTGCTGCTTAAAGATCGGACGCTGCTCCTCTCCCATGAGGGTGTCATGGTGCCCGGAAGCATCCAGGGTCCTGGCAGGTGTCAGGTCAAACAAGTGAAACCAGCCCTCAGCACTCACTGCCACCACCAGGTTCTGGAAGAGTCAGAGGTATCGGGGAGATGGACTGGGGAGGGAAGTTTGAGCACAGACTGATCATTAGAACACAGAGGTCAGGGCAGAAGCCATTCACTCTCAACTGATTCCCACCTTGAGACAGCGATCGATGGAGGTGAGGCCTGGGAGTAACACTGAAGTCCCAAGGGCCCCGAGGGTTCTTACCTTTCCTCTGTTACATACATCTCCAACCCCAACGCAAGTCAGCTGCAAAAGAAGAAAGGGAGGTTCAGGAGACACAGAGGAGACCACTGCTCCCTAATCTCTATGAAGCAGGAAGGAGCAGGTTTTCTAACGACCACATTGGCTGAAAACCTGTGCATAGACCTACACGGAGAGTCTGTGTGAACTGAGTTACTGTGCTATGGGTTGGGCTTGGTTTACCCAGACAGCAATACGAAGACCTGAAGTAAAGACTATTTGGGCTCAAAACAAAATCTTTACAAAACAAAAACTCCAAGATAGCCAGACTATCATGTTTCTAGACTTACTCAAATACTTGCCCCATTTTCTACTTTGTAAGATCAGACAACCTAGGCAGTTTCCCTAAAGTACTTAGGGCATCACTCCATTACATAAAATACCCACACTCACCCGTGTGTGTATGTGCGTGTATGTGTGTGTGTGTGTAACAGTTGGGAGATCACTGCTTGGGGGCTTCCCTCCCTGAATCAATCGAACCCTGAGCCAGCGGCTAAGCTGCATAGCTGGTGGGTTAGGACACACTGGTGAGCTCCCATGGGTCTCGGGCTTGACAGCTCCTGGACAGACTTCCCTTCCCCCACCTTGAGACCCTGGTAGTTGAATACTGACCATTCCCTGACAGGAACAGGTGAGCCATGGCCGGCTGTCATCATTCTTGTACACAGAGAGCTTCCCACTGGTGTCTCCCACCACCAGTTCATTTAACTTCAGATGGAGAGAGAAGAGTGTTAGCACGGGATCCTGCTGACCCACCCCAAACTCTTCTCTACTGGGCCCATCCCCAGGAAATCACAGGACATCAACTTGAACCTTCATCAACTTTATTAAAAATCTTTGGTGACCAATACAGCCATGGTTTCCCAGAGTTTCTTCATTTCCGTTGTTGGGGGTGGTTATGGTGGAGGTGGTGGTGGTGGAGGTGGTGGAGGTGGTGGAGGTGGTGGTGGTGGTGGTGGTGGTGGTGTGTGTGTGATGGGCAGGGGAGGTTACAGGAGTGAGGCAATACAGAAATCATCCCAGAAAAGATTGACATCTGAACAGTTCAATGCCCCACATCTTGACTTTGGCTCTAATTTGTCACTTAGAAATGGGACATATGGGGTGTGTGTGTGGCAAAAGTAGGTGTACAGTTGTTCATATGGAAAATATTAATAAGTAATAATACGAGACTAAACTGTTTCACATACTCACAACTGTACACCTACTTTTGCCCCATCTCTGTACTTGAAAACAACTCCAAATATTCAACTTTTAAAGAATTTAGTTTCAATCAAATTCTCATATCCAATTAGGAGCCAGGTTAAAAAAATCAAGTCAGCTCTGGGGGCCCTACCTCCGTTAGCAAGACCTTTCGATCTCAGTGTGTGTGAGTGAACACAGGGATGGAGGGGCCGGAGGTGGGGCAGCCTGAAGGGGCTGCTGGTGTCAGCAGCCATGCTCTTGGGCCTCTGGTGCCCTCCAGCGGTGGCTGAGTTCTCAGGAGGGCAGGCTCCCTGCATGAAGCCTCTCCTCCACTATCTGTTTCTGTGTACTCCATCCCCCAGGCGCAACCGAAGGCTGGCTACCCTTCCCAGGGGCTCACGATGATAATAATAAGGTCGCTCAGAACCCCATTTCCACTGATAGCTTCAGGATTTCCCCTCGTGGACACATCCAACACCCACTTTCTGTCCGCAGGACAGAGCGAATATTAGATTCTCAGGAGATTTAATTCTTTTTTTTCCTTTTTATCGAATTTATTGGGGTGACACTGGTTAACAAAATTCTACAGGTTTCAGGTACACAATTCCACAAGGAGATTTCATTCTAAAGGCAACAAAGGCATAACAGAAAAACATTCAGGAAAAATTAGCAATGAACTGGAATTTATCAATGACTTACTTGATTTGAATCTTAGATTAATTACTTTTTAATAGTTATGGGAATGTTAGATCATAGAAGTATAAAACAAGTTTATTTAGATTAAAACTTCTACACTCAATGCTTCTTCTTCTTTTTTTTTTAATCCTCACCCAAGGATATTTTTCCATTTATCTTCAAATAGAGTGGGAGGAAGGGGGAGAGAGGGAGAGAGAGAAAGATCGATGTGAGAGGAACACATCAATTGGTTGCCTCCCACATGACCCGACCAGAGCCGGGGACGAACTACAATCGAGGTACGTGCCCTTGATCAGAATGGAACCCATGACTCATTGGTCCACAGGCAGACGCTCCAACAGCTAAGCCAAACCAGACAGCACTTCTTTTCTTTGGAAAAAAAATTTTTTAATATGTTTTTATTGGTTTCTTAGAGAGAGGAAAGGAGAAAAATGGAAAATCAACGTGAGAGAGAAACATCAATTGGCCGCCTCCTGCACAGCCCTAACTGGGGATTGAGCCCACAACCCAGGCACATACCCTGTCCAGAATCGAACCGGGACCGCTCAGTCCATGGGAGGATACTCCATCTACTGAGCCACACCGGTTGGGCATGCACCCCATGTTTCCATTACAGCTGCCCCCAGAGGGCTTCTGCCACCCATAGGAGAGAAGCTGCATGGCACAGAGGCCCCGAGTGCCGCTGTCTGCATTTGAATCCAGTTCTCTCTGCCTATACTTTTTCATCTATAAAACGAAGATCATAGGAATAGCTGCTTCATAAGGTTGTGAGAACTGAGCTAATAGAGGAAAGCATTTAGAAGGGATTGGCGCTAACACCGGGTAGTTTCCAGCCTCTAACCCCCAAGGCTAGGGAGTCTTAGCATCCTTTGTACAATCCATTCATCCAACAAATGAGTCTATAGTAGGCCTCGATAAAATGTTTACTTAATAGACAAATACCAAAAAAGATTTTTTTAAGAAACAAAGAACAATCAGAATGAAAGAGAATGCCCAGTCAGCCCTTGAGTTTTCAGGTAAAGCTGGACGACCAGTTAGGGGTACAAAGATAAATGCCACAAACTCCCTGCTGAGAAGGGCCTCACAGTTTAACAAGGGCACAGGCACAGGAATAAAATCATAAAACAGCGTGGTAGGTGCAGGGAGCCAGGCAGAGTGAGGTAATGGCGCTGGAAGAGCACAATCCCAGGGCAGTCCATCTGTGCCTAGCAGCTCCAGGAGGGATATGTTCCAAGACCCCAGTGGGTGCCTGAAACTGCAGAGTGTACTGAACCCTCATGCGTACTATATTTTTTTCTATATATACATGCCATGATAAAGTTTAATTTATAGGTTAGGCACAGTAAGAGATTACCAACTACTAATAAAAGAGAATAATTATAATGATATACTATAGTAAAAGTTAAGTAAATGTGGTCACTCATTTCAGGGGGTCCCTTACTGAAGTCTTCATATAGGCTCAGTGCTTTCTGGGGTAATCTGATGCCATCAACTAGAACATATTTTCTTCCACCCACAAATTCAATGACTTTTCCATTGATCACGCACTATGACCATCAATTTTGCAATTTCATGTACAACAGCAAAACAAGCATGCATTTTTTTTTTCTTTCTTTACAATTTCATGGATAGATTTGTTCTGATCATAGATTTTAGCAACCTCAGCCTATGACTACTTTTCTTTTTTTTTATTTATTTTTTTAAGGTTTTTTTATTTTTTATTTATTTTATTTTTATTTTTTTATCCTCACCCGAGGATATTTTTTCATTTTTTGTACAGATAGAGTGGGAGGGAGAGAGAGGAACAGAGAGAGAGAGAGAAACATCGACGTGAAGGGACACATCGAGTGGCTGCCACCCGCACGACCAACCAGGGCCGGGGACAAACTGCAACCGAAGTACGTGCCCTTAGCGGGAACCGAACCCGGGTCTCTCCGGACCGCAGGCCGACGCTCTAACCTCTGAGCCAAACTGGCCAGGGCCTATGACTACTTTTCTTATTAAGTTGAGAATGTTCACCTTTTCACTTAAAGGAAGCACTTAACCACTCCTACTTGGCATATCCAAATTGCCAGTATCACTACTCTTGTGCTTTGGGGCCATTATTTTATTATTATTATTATTTTTTGGTACGTGCCCCTACCAGAACTGAACCTGGGACTCTCTGGTCCGCAGGCCGATGCTCCAACCGCTGAGCTAAACCAGCCAGGGCTTTTATTAAATAAAATAAGGGTTACTTAAATACAAGCACTGTGATTCTGAGACGGTTAGTCTTGATCTGATAACCCAGATGGCTAAGTGACCAACAGTGGGTAACATATGTAGTGAGAATACACTGGACAAAGGGATGATTCATCTCCCAGGCTAGATGGAGTGGGACTGAACGAGATTCCATCATGACACTCAAAACAGCACGCAATTTAAAACTTATGAATTATTTCTAGAATTTTCCATTTAATGTTTTTGGACTTCTGTTGACTGCGGGTAACTGAAATTGCAGATAAGGGGTGACTAAGGTATAATGCTTCCCCGCAGTTCTGCTTCTTTGTGGTTGAGTCTAGCTCTGGCGGCCAAAGTGACACTAAAGAACCCCAGCTGGATAGTACACCATCAGTCAGAGATGCTAAAGGAGAAAGGAGGTGAGATCTATCTGTGATCTGCTTCAGCCTTCTAGAGGCTTTCTCTCTCATGGTGTAGCCAGGCTTCGGTGGGTAGTTACAGAAGGTGTGTATTCTATTCATGGCTCCTCCCTCAGACTTAGCAGAAAATAAATTAGTTTCAAAGAACTATCACATATCACACACTGTGGCCATCACTTTTGGCTAAAGGTTTATTAGAATGAAGTAAGTCCTTTTCCTGCCCACAATTTCCAGATGCTGGCCTGGGGAACCAATAACAAAATTTCCGTCCACACTTTTGCAGGCTATCTGTACCACATCTGATTACTAGCCAACTATCTCAACTACTTGCCCATCTTTCAATTATATTTGTTAACAGGTAGAGCCCTTCAAATTGCTTTGAGACACATAATCACATTTGCTTTTCCTAACAAACCTGATTTATTCAGCAAACATTTATTGAGTGCCCACTATGTGCCAGGCACTATTCTAAGTGTTGGGAGTAAAGCAGTTAAAAACAGACAAAAAATTCCTATCCTAATGGCACTTACAACTCAGGTTAAAGAAAAAAAGTATAATATACCTAATATTGCAGAACTCAGTGTGTAACCGTGCAATTCACTTAGAAAAGTACAATTTCTAAAAGAGCTGGTGATATGAAGTTATGAAAAAGAGCATGTATTTTTCTCTTATAAACAAAGAAGACAATCAGATAAAAAGGAAAATAATGCACATCTAGAGTCACTTTGTTAATTTACTACTTAAAAATGCCTCCCTTAATTTTCTCGTAAAAATTGTACTTGGCATATGAAGACATGTGAAAGCCCAGAAAACATAATACAAATTTATGAGAATAACTTTTTTTCCTTCCTAGAGGGAGTAGAGCCAAAAGAGGACTCATAAAATACCTCTCCATCACAGCACAAAGGAGTCTGCGAAGTGGGGAGGATGTTTTAGCCCCAGTTTTCTGGTGTTTTGTTTGTTTTTTCCAGGCAAAAGACAGTACAGAACAGCGGGGAGGAAGAATAGGGAGATGGGACAGAGGGTAGGCAAGAAAGGCAATAAGGTGCTTTGTACTAAAAATATTAAATAGAGATAAATGAAAAGATAAAGTCTGGGGGGGAAAAAGTGTTTCACACCATCAACAGCCTGCATCCTCTTTGATGCTTCACCCTAGAACTTGTTTTTTGTTTTTGTTTTTTTAATCCTCACCCAAGGACATTTTTGCATTTATCTTCAGATAGAGCATGAGTGAGAGGAGGAGGAAGAGAGAAAGAGAAATATCGATGTGAGACAGACACATCGAGTGGTTGCCACGCACACGACCCCAACCAAGGCCGGGGACAAACTGCAAAGAGGTATGTGCCCTTAGCGGGAACCAAACCCAGGACTCTCTGGTCCCCAGGCCGATGCTCTAACCGCTGAACCAAACCGGCCAGGGCAACCCTAGAACTTTTTACATATTTTATTTTATTTTAGGAATTAAAAAAAAATATTTTTTCTTTATTGATTTTTTAGAAAGGAGAGGGAGAGAGAGAAACATCAATGAGAGAACATGAATTGGCCACCTCCAACATGCCCCCACTGGGGATTGGGCCCACAAGCTGGGCATCTGTCCTGACCGGGAATGGAACCAGTGACCTTTTGCTGTGTGGGTCGATGCACACCCACTGAGCCTAGCTGGGCCTTTTTACATATTTTAATCAAGACACCTCATTATATTTTGTTATTCTAGGACTATCACCTCACCTGTGAGCTACCTGAGGTCTGGGTTCATTTTTTTTTTTAATCCTCGCCCAAGGACATTTTTCCATTTTTTGTTCAGATAGAGTGGGAGGAAGAGAGAGAGAGAGAAACATCGACATGAAAGGGACACATCGAGTGGCTGCCACCCGCACGACCAACCAGGGCTGGGGACAAACTGCAACAGAGATACACGCCCTTAGCGGGAACCGAACCCAGGTCTCTCTGGACCGCAGGCTGACGTTCTAACCGCTGAGCCAAACCGGCCAGGGCTGGGTTCATTTTTTAATTCCCAGAAGGTGGTCGAGTTCTTGGCGCATAATTGGCAGTTCAATAAATATTTGCAGAAAAATAGGATCAAATACTAACAACAATGGCACCAACACTTACCGAGCCATTAACCTTGTGCCAGGCATGATGCTACCTGCTTTACTTGTATTCACTCTGTCCAATGGCCTGGGGGACTGGCGCCAGGCAAAGTGCTCGACCATTGTCACCTTGCTCAGCCTTGTCTCCCACCCTGAACGGCCTGCCTCGAGCCTATAGATTAACTCCCATCTTGCTCTTATCTATTCACATTCCAGAGGCTCCATGCATAACCCCCGCAGGGCCAAACCCTAAGGGACAAATTCCAGATACAACAGGCAGATATAAAAGACAGGAGCCCCTACATTGAGGGCGGCTTCTAGGACTCGACCCCCGGAGTCTGTGAACCCGCCCGGAGTGTACCCAATAAAGCCTGATCCCTGTTTATTCGGCTGATTGGCTCTCCAGTCTCTTCTCTGTTTTATTCGGCGGCGCCCCCGATTCCTTACACACTCATTTAGATATACATACACATATTTATATGTGTGTGTATATATTTAATCCTCGCCCAAGGATTTTTTTTTTCTATTTATCTTCAGATAGAGTGGGAAGGAGAGAGGGAGAAAAAGGGAGACAAAGAGAAACATCCATATGAGGGACACACGACTGGTTGCCTCCCGCAGGACCCCGACCAGGGCAGAGGAATAGCAGGCAACCACGTACGTGCTCTTGGCCGAATCCAACGCGCGACTCATTGGTCCGCTGGCGACTCTCTACCGCTGAGCCAAACCGGCCAGAACTGTAATGATTCATTTAAGCATCGAGAAAAGGAACAAGGAGATTGTCTACCAGCCGGGAGGCGAGGCAGAGACTGCAATGTATTCCAGCGACACAAGGGGCCACGTGTAGGAGCAGCAGAGGTGCTTTTTAAGCCTATTTTGAGGCTTTGAACGGTAAAATGACTTTAGAAGTAATAACCCTGGAGGAAACGTAACGATAGACGCAGTGAACCAGGAAATTGGCCACCAGGGTTTACTAGGCTCTTACGGTGAGGCAGAGAGTCAGTTATACACGCTCCTAGAAAAACCCCAGACCGACTCGCTCAGGACGCCCGGGCACTTAAGCTATCTCTAAAGTTCTTGCCCAGCTCCGCCAACCTAGTTCTACTGCGCAGGCGCCGCTCGGGCCGCAGGCTTCCTCCGCTTCCCTGGCCCCGCCCCGGCCGTGCACTTGCAGTGCGCATGCACTGACCGTATCGTTGTCGACGTCTCCGAGGCAGATTGCATGCGGGAAGAGGCTTCCGCTGAACTCTAGGGCTACACGCTGCACGTAGCTGACCGATCTCATCGCACTTTCAAGGGCTAACCGGTCGGGGAGCCCCTCTAAATGTTCCCCGACCCCCTCCCGACAGCTGTTGGAGCGGAAGGCCACCCAAAGCGGAAATTTACGTCGCTGCCTGAGCCTCCAATCCTGGCCTTCCTGCTTAACCTTAGAGAAGAGGCGGGTCTTCCGAACACTCTAGGCGTGGGGCGGGCTTGAGAAGCTAGTGATGTGAGTGACAGGGGCATGGGCCACTCCTTTTCACGTGAGGGCAAGAACGCAAGGGTGGAGCAACCCTAATGGGGCTGATCTATTCCCGTGGCAACAGGGATCTCTAGTGCTTGACCAAATAACTTTGACCTCTTCCTTTGTTGCACTGACTATTGAAGATTCCCAGCCCCCCCCCCCATAATAATCGTAATAACTGACAACTGCATGATTTGCAGCAATGTTTTTTTTTTTTTTTAATTATTAATTTTTAATCCTCACCTGAGGATACCTTTTTCCATTTATCTTCAGACAGTGTGTGTGTGAGAGAGAAACATCAACTGAGGCACATTGACTGGCTGCCTTTCCCACCGACCCGACCAGGGCCTGGGATGAACCTCAGCGGAGGTATGTGCCCTTGACCTGAATGGAACAGAGACTCTTTGGTCCGTGGGAGGATGTTTTACCACTGAGCCAAACCGGTCAGGGCACCAGCATTGTTTTGTTTTAAGTTACCCTTTAGGAGTTGTGAAAACGATGTAGTGAATCAAACCAGTATTTTAAAACACGAACTAGAATAGAATAGAAAATATCAAGTGACTTATAAGTAATGTTTTTGTGAAACGTTTGTTTCAAATGTATATATCTATATGTGTATATAATGGCTAATGTAAAAAAGTTTTTTTAACAGTGTGTGCTTTGTGATCAGTAATTTGAAAACCACATGATGCAAAGCACATTTCACATGTTATTCCATGTAATTAACACAACTAACATATGAGCTTTTTTATTATTTCAATTATTTGGACGAGGAAAACAGATTCAGTAACACTAAGTAACAAGGCAGAACATGGTAGAGGTGGAACTCAAACCAGGATTGTTTGATCCAAAACCCCAGGTCCTGCCCGCCGGTGTGGCTCAGTGGATTGAGCATGGTCCAATGCACCAAGAGGTCATGGGTTCCATTCCTGGTCAGGGCACATGCCCAGGTTGCAGGCTCAATCCCCAGTAGGAGGCATACAGGAGGCAGTCAATGGAGATTTCTGTCACATAGATATTTCCCTTTCCCTCTCCCTTCCTCTCTCTCTAAAAATGAATTTTAAAAATCTTAAAAAACAAACAAACAAAAAAACACAAACATTTAAAAACAAAAACACCCCCAGGTCCTTTCTATCATTTAGGTTATAGTTCATAGAAATGTCCTCAGGGTACATGTCAGGGTTGCTGAGATTCTGGATCTGCCCTGCCCTGCGACCCCCACCACAAAGCTCTTGCCTCCCTCCCTCAGTGGCCTCACTCTGTAGTATAAATGGGACATCACCATCATGGCTGACCTCTTAGGGAAACTTTTCATATTAACTCAAATCCAACCCTTTTTGGGGGGAGAGGGGGGAGCTCATCAATTAAGGCACCACAAGTATTTGAAAGGTGACAGTCTGTGCAGGCATGGTAAATAGCAATCTAGATGGTGAATAAAGAAAAATTGGGTTTATTTAAAGAAAAGGGGTGGGGATGGGAATATCCAAAGGGAAGGGCTACACATCACTGAGCCATGGGGTATTGGGTCGATGATGGCAGCCCCTAGGAGCTGGAGTTTTGTCCTTATATGGGTCCACTGGCGGGAAGCTTTTGTCAGTAGGTGGGTTTGGGGGTCTTGGTTGTGGGTTTGGGCAGGGAGTTGGGTCTACAGGAATTTCACATTGGGTGGTTGTTTGGGTCCTGGTATCTGGTAGCATTTCTTGTCCAGCCAGTTCTCCTATGGTGGAAAGTTTGGTCTTTGTTCTCCTTGGGTGGGGAGGCTTGCAAAATGGCTGTTAGGAATTATATTGTCCATGTAAGTCCTAACAGTATTGTTTGTGAAATTCTGCAAGTGTGCTATGTATTTTAAGATTTAGGACTGTTGTCCCTGGCTGATTTACACATTGGTCTTTTAGGAATCAACACTGTGAAAGTGAGGATATCTACTTCACCTGGGGATGTTGGACCAGGGCAGGTTCTGCTTTCTGAACCTAGAGAGAAAAGGTGCTGGAGGGCAAGACCTTGGTGTCTGGGGGCAAGGGAGGGGTAAGGACATTTTGTCCAAGAGGTCTCAATGGATCTGATGGCCAGATAAGATGAGAACAAGGAACAGCAGGTCAGAACAGCAAACAGGAGGCAGGCTAGACAAATACTGGGACTGCAGATACACTGAAGTTTCTGTTTCTGGTGGTGTACTGTGGGCCAGGTCCATGCAAAGGCTCTGGGTTGCACAGGAGTACCTGGTATTTTAGATACACGATCTCACTTACGAAGAGGTTGCATGCTGCCTCATCTTGCCCTACCACTTCTCTCTCTATTCTTCTCTCATGCGCACTCAAACCCTAAGTTTCTTGTGAGGTTTTAAGGGGTGGAAAAACAAGCCAGTTTTAAAATATTTACCACTAAATGTAAGGTTAAATAGTTTGAATTGTTTCTTTTCACTAATATTTCTACATTGTTTTCTCATTTTTCCAGTCCTTTGAACGAAATTGTAAATAAATAAATAATTAAATAAATAATCAATCCAGCACAAAATAGATGAGGATCACCCTGCTTCAGTCACCAAGTGTCCTGGCCTGACCCAGTTCTCTGAAATCATACTCTGACCCAGCTCTCTACAATGCCTTACTTTTATCTTCCTCATCACTTGGCCTCTTGTTCTTGACCTTTCTGTGCCAGATGGGTGCCCATTTTTGTTTGTTTTGCTTTTGCCACGAAGGTCATGTCATTATGATCACAACTTATGCCTTTTGGCTTTTGTCAAGAGAGCCAAATAAAGTAAGAAAGGGAGGAAAGATGAGTGAGTCTCCAGAGAAATATGGTATGAATCAAATCTTTGCATTCCTATGCCCCTCCCCACCTTGTGTAAATTACATTAACTGCATTAGGCGTTAAATTCAGTTAGGTGGAATACAGGACTAGGCACTGCAGAGCCATGTGGACAGATCCCTGGCTCTCCACCCTTGTCGAGGCCTTTTCTAGTGGGACAGCTGGTCAGTCTCCACTGGTACAATCTATAGCCCGTCTTATTTCAGCCAACCACTCTATCAGCATGGGTTTTTTCAGTTTTTTGTTTTTGTTTTTTAAGATTTCTTTCTAATCCTCACCTGAGGATAGTTTTTCAAATATCTTCAGATAGAGTGGGAGGGGGAAGAAGAGAGAGAGAAATAAAGAAACGTAGATGTGAGAGAGACACATCAACTGGGTGCCTCTCCCATGACTCTGACTAGGGCCGGGGACAAACTGCAACTGAGTTATGTGCCCATGACCACAGTCGAACCCACGACTCTTTGATCCATGGGCAGATGTTCTAACCACTGGGCAAAACTGGCCAGGGCTCAGCATGGGTTTTGGCTTACTCCCCAGAACTGCCTAATCAGGCCATCTTCCTGGGTAGAGACGTGGATACAGTTGTGTGGGTGGCATATTCTTTACAAACCAGCCAAACAATAGCTTCAATAGAAACCTGTATGGGAGGGGAGGCATTAAGTGGGAGAGATTTCTAGAGAGATTCTTTGTCCACTTGTTCCTCTAAGAGTAGTCAGAGGGGTCCTATCAATTTCTGTCTGCCTAGGATGCCCAGGTAAGAAATAGAACCTTGCCCTGGACGCTTTGGCTCAGCTGTTAGAGTCTCAGCCCTCGGACCAAAGGGTTGTGAATTCAATTCTCAGTCAAGGGCATGTACGTGGGTTGCAGGTTGGATCCTTGGCCCTGGTCTGGGTCTTGTGGGAGGCAACCAGTCGGTCTGTTTCTCTCACCTAGATGTTTCTCTCTCTCTCTCTCTCCCTCCCTCCCTTCCACTCTATCTAAAATCAATAGAAAAATATTCCCGGGTGAAGATTAACAACAAAAAGAAACAGGACCTTTAAAGCTCTTTCTACAGGTGAGGCCCAGAGCCACTCACCATCCTGGGAACAAGACCTAGGGCTTTCTAAGGGACTGTTTGAGAGACTTCCTCATTCCTCTTCCCCCTCTGGTTCAGTGCACCTTAGCACACTAAAGGTTCTGAGAAGTCATGAAGTACAGAAACCTGACTCTCAAACTTACTTGACCTAGAAATTAGGCAGAACAGTGTGGGCAGCCCTGCTGAGTGAAATGCTGTTATTCAGAGTGTTACTTGGAGTCCCAGCTATCACAAGTGTGGCCCTATCAGAAAGGACCAACTCTGGGAAGCTTTGATCCTAGAACCTATCAGGGTTGTCGTCTGTTCAAGAGCCTATTGGCCACTAACTAAAGGATGAACGTAGTTCTTCATTTTCACTGGAGAACATGAGGGAATGGGCATTATAATGGGATTAAATGCCACTGAGTTCAAAATGGATTTTTTGTTATGTAAATTTCACCTACCACCCCCAGAAAACAGCCAGATACATTTTGTGTGTGAAGCACTTCTAACAGTGGAATGGGTAACCCTAGGGAGCACGTGGGTTTTGGTAATATGGTATGCTGGTCTCTTCTAGCCAGAGAACTCTCCAAGTTCATGAAGGCATTGCTTTTTGTTGATCATTCCTCCTCAGAACCACTTTGAGTCTCGTTCTCACATTGCCTCCCGAATTGGTATATTTAGTGTTAATTACATAAAGTTTTATTACGATTTGTATAATGAGGACAGTTGGTGTATCCAAGTTATCTGAGTTGGAAAGCAGCTGGGGAACTGCAGCCAGTCAGCAGTAACAATTTCCAGAAAGAGGACAAGTTTTCCTCTTCCTCGGAATGCCTTCAGCTCTTACACTGGCTTTATTCAACACTGCCCTTAGCACACTGTCATTTCAACTTAAGGGTTACAAGGCTCTGAGTTGTTCTGTGTTTGGAAGGGGAAGATTGGTTATTGACACAGGAGTAAAGTATGCAAGTTTCCAGTTTCTTTCTTTTTTTAAAAAAATAAACCAGTTGTTTATTTTGAATTGTATGCTACCAACAGTATTATCTTTCTGTCTGTTCTTTCATGAATACGTTGGGAAGTATATGATAGATGACAAATGAATTGACATT